GGGGCGGAGGCCGGCGCGGCCAAGGCTGCGGCGAACCCCTTGGCGGAGTTAGATGCGGATGAGGAGGTCGCGGCGGCGGTGGCGGCCGCGGCCGCGGCGGCTGCGGCAGCCGGGGAGGTGGATGCGGAGGTGGGCGGGGGCCCGCAGGGGAGCCCAGACTTTCCCATGGCCTCGCTGTACGTGGGCGACCTGCACCCTGAGGTGACGGAGGCGATGCTGTACGAGAAGTTCAGCCCCGCGGGGCCCATCCTCTCCATCCGCATCTGCAGGGACAAGATCACCCACCGCTCCCTGGGCTACGCTTATGTCAACTACCAGCAACCGGTGGACGCCAAGAGGGCCCTGGACACCCTGAACTTTGACGTTATAAAAGGCCGGCCGGTGCGCATCATGTGGTCCCAGAGGGACCCCTCGCTGCGCAGGAGCGGGGTGGGCAACGTCTTCATCAAGAACCTGGGCAAGACTATCGACAACAAGGCTCTGTACAACATCTTCTCGGCGTTCGGCAACATCCTGTCCTGCAAAGTGGCCTGCGACGAGAAGGGGCCCAAGGGCTACGGGTTCGTGCATTTCCAGAAGCAGGAGTCCGCTGAGCGGGCCATAGATGTGATGAATGGCATGTTCCTGAACTACCGCAAGATTTTCGTGGGAAGATTCAAGTCCCATAAAGAAAGAGAGGCCGAAAGGGGAGCCTGGGCCAGGCAGTCCACCAGTGCTGACTGCAAGGAGTTTGAGGAAGACACCGATGAGGAGGCCACCTTGCGATGAGCACATCCCTGGAGCAAGCCAGCAGAGCCAAATCTTGGCTCCTATCCGGTTTACAACTCCCCCCCACCCCAACCCAACCCACCAGCAGTGTATTGTATTGGGAGTGCAGGTCTCTCTCGTTTCCTCTCCCTCTCCCTCCCTCTCGCTCTCTCTCTGTCTCTCTTCCTCTCTCTTGCTCTCCCTCTCTCTCCCTCTCCCTCTCCCTCTCTCTCTTCCCCTCCTCCTCCCCCTCCCCCTCCCCCTCCCTCTCCCTCTCCCTCTCCCTCTCTCTCTTCTGCTTGCCCCTCCCCTCCTCCCCATGCCTCTCTGCCCCTACAGCTCCTGCTGTACCTCCTGCCCTCTCCCACCCTTCCCCCTCCCCTCTCCTCCCCTCCCTCCCCCCTCCTCTCCTTTCCCCTCTTCTTCTCCTCCCCCTCCTTCCTACCTTGTGTCTCCCCCTCTATCCCTCCCTCCCTTCCCCTTTCTCCCCATTCACTTTTCTTCTTCCTCTTCCTCCTCCTCCTCTCCTCTCCTCTCTCCCTTCCTCTTCTCTCCACCCCCATAAGGGTGTTGTGAATAATCCTACTAATCTGTGCCATTTGATGAGCTAAAGCTTGCCTCTTCTCCCTGTGGTTTGGTTCTTAAAAAAATATTTTCTTTCTTCTCTTTGTTTACTGCACAGGTGATTCAATCTCATGGTAGAAATAGCAGAAAGGAGAAGGAAATCAGATGAGAGGAAAACCAAGAGAGTTATTGCTCCTCATGATCTCACAATCCAGAAAGAACCGCTTTACCTTTTTGGTGGGCTGTTTTTCCAGGCTCTCTTCTCTCCCTCACTCACCTCCACCCCACCTTCCTTTTATCATACTGGTGTAGAATGATTCATGTGTGTGGTGTTTCTTGACCTGCTTTTTTCAGCAACTAAAACCAAACGAAAATCAACCCACTGATCTCCTTTCTGTGATATTCAACAGGCTTATCAAAAACATCATCTTCAGTGCCTGCAGAATGCTCCTGTGTATCTATCTGTGGACCTTATCGTTTCTGTAATCATTCCCGTATTGTTGGACATTCAGGTGGTGCCTGGTTCTTTCCCTGTGGTTAAAAACAACACTGTGTGCTCTGATGAGTGAATCCTTCCCTATCCAGCCAAATCTCTGCTAGCATCCTGGATGGTCTCCTCAACTGCGGACTTGCAGAATCCACAGACGGACGTTTCAGAGACTTTTCCTGTGTGTTGCCCAAAGGTCCCCTTCATAAGCATTGTTCCCATTTGCACTCATGCCACCCAGCACAGCTAGTGAAAAGTGTATGGCCACTTCCCCTCCATTGCCTCCTGGCTGCTGTAATTGGAGTGTGTTTGTGTGCGCTTGTGTGTGTGCGTGTGTATGTGTGTGTGTGACTTGGCCAGCTTAATTGGTTGCAAAATGGTAATTCACTCTCATTGGTTGTTTCACTGAAACTGAACACTGTTAATCACTCCTTTCTCCAGTGCCCACTTCCTGTCCTTTGCCTCACTGTCGAAAACATAAGTCACTGTTATCGCAGGAAGACAACAAGGGCAACAAAGTTCAAAGGGCACACAAATTAACAGAAGAAAATGAACATTGTCAGTTCTCAATTTTAATGAACATGACCAACTTCCCAGAATATGTTCATCGTCATCCGCTCAGTATCTTTCATGTGATATATATGTGAATTTAATGTGTATATAATGTTGCAATATCTGCTTTTTCATACATAAAATATGTATATTATTGATATAGATATATAGATATTCTTGAAGTTTGTTTTATGTCATTAAATATTCTTTTAAAGTAGTTTCCATGGCTGTTTGGTTTAGCAAGGTGTGAATGGGCCACTCATCCTCATGTATATATACACTTAAATGTATATAATGTATATATAAATCTATACATTTATATCCATTTTTAGATGTAGAAAAGATGATATTTATTTTTACTGCATTTTTTGAACATCAAAGCAGAGATTTCAAGAATACGATTTTGTGCAAATCTTGCTTACGTTAAAGATTATTTTCTGATCATTGTTCAAGTACAGTGGAAATAGCAAAGTAGATGGGTGGATTAAATTTTTATTTTTATTTTTTGATTCCTCACTAAGCATCTATTTTTGATGATATTAATAGTTTTGTTTTAGAAAGACATACTGAGAAGAATTGAATGTGTAAACAATTTTCTCTACTTTGTATTGCAATAACTTTTGCAATTCTCTGTTCCTTTGTAGCTCAATAGATTTCTAAAAGGTGTATTTTAAAGATTCACATCATAATAATGTTTGAAGGATTCTGCTAAGCAAAGGAATCAAAAGTTTTCATCAATGAAGTGTAACGTTACATAAAAATAAAATTATAAAATCATAATTAATAATTTGGAAAGATAAGAAACACTTGATGTAGTGAAAATATACCACAATCAATTATTTGTTGGGTTTTTAAAAGTGAGAAATATATATATGTATATTATATAATACATAAGGATATGTTATATGTATATTTGAAAACCATTTTTTTGTCTAGTATAGTGATGGGTAGTTTTGGTTTTGCTCACCAGAATATTTTTTTCACCAGAATATTTAAAAAATCCATTATGATAATATATTATTTGTACAAATGTAAATGTTTAAAATAAATCTTTTAGAAATCTGTTTCCCTAAAAAACACAGCAGCTTGCAGAAGCAATTGTTAATACAAAGCTCAGAAAATTGTCTATACTTTCAAGTTCTCTTGCAGTGTTTGTGTCCTTCTAAAGGTAAAATGTTAATATCATCAAAAATAATTGCTTAGTAAGAAACCAAAAATGTATATAATATTAATTCTACAGGTGTAAGCACAGTCTCGATGCATTTTTAATGGTCTTGATATTACCCCTATAGAATTAATATTATGGGAGATATATTTGTAGGTGATTATTCCCTAATATCTAGGCATATTTAGTTGCCTGATACATCTTGCAATTTATTGACAAAGGCTTTTGTCCTTAAACCTTCTTTCCATCAACAGTATAATAGAGTTCATGTTTCCCTGGTTATGTTCTTTAGTTTTTTGAACTATGAAAAGTTGATTATGCTTGTTTTATTTTACAAGGACACTATTGAAGGGCATGAATATAACACACAAGAAAGAAACCATGGTTTTGTCAGTTTGCATACTAATAAATTTTACAACAAATACAGAAGCATACTAAATTTATTGCACATATTCATAATGTATTCTGTCAAATTTCATTTACAATTTATTGTAAATATACTTAATATATCTCTTGCTGTTCAATATTCTACCATAAATCACTACCATTTTACAGACAGATCAGATATTTCCCCCCATAATTTTATTGAGAAACAAATAGCAATGAGACAGTTTCAAACCAAATTGGCATGACAGTTTCAATAATTAACACATTGCATACTCTCTTCCTAGTGGTTATTTGTTTTACAAGATGCAGACATGATGTCCTATTTACAAACACTATTACAACAAATCCCTATATTTATTAAGAGAATGTAACTATGTATCCTAACAATTTTGAATACACAGATACAAAATGGACATTCATCTATATCCCCTTTTTCGTTTAATTCCATCATTTGAATATTATAGGTGTGTTAACTCGGCAAAGTATTCTAAAAGAGTCCAGTAGTCCATAATAGTATTGAGTCTTCCTCTTGACTGGCAGTGTCAGAAATTGTTGACCTGAGTCCCCTACAGCTCAACATAACACCATGGCTTTACTTCTTATACAACTGTATCTTAAAATGACATCGAAAGTGTAAATTTAGGCTATCAATCCTCTATGTCACTGAAGCCGTGAAGTACCCGAGAATGTCTTTCTCCTTTCCTCCCTACAGCAGTGCCACTTTCTTGGGGTCCAAGTTGTGATGCCACTGGAGAGGCTGCCCTCTCCTTCACCTTCAGAGTCAGAAGTGTTGACAGTGGAAGGCATTTCACACTACTATCAACAGGAACAGCAGTGTACAAGGGGCAGATCAGATTTTTTAAGCTTTTTATTTGACCTTTGACATTAGTTTGTAAATTTTCCTCACACTAGCCAAGTCTGTGCTAAATAAATTTCCAATTGCACACTTGAAGTGTTTCTTAATTTAAGTATCTTAAACCAAAATTTGAAATTAATTACACTTTAAAATTCTTTATACTGTCAAGTAGCCTGGATATAACAATTTATACTTCCATCAACACATTAGAGTGCTACAGCAAGCAGAAACACTAAAACGATACCCAGGATTTGGAGGCAGGTTTTTTTTTTTTTTTAATTTTGATGACTGCTGATTGGGACCCTTCCAAAAATATGAGGCCCTGATCTCTGGTGGTCTAGGCTTTTTAAAATTTATTTATTTATTTATTTATTTATTCGTGTGTGTGTGTGTGTGTGTGTGTGTGTGTGTGTGTACAGCTCAGCCCACCAGGGGACGGGGCTGGCTGGCATGTGGTGCTGGGGGTTGAACTGCGGTCCCTGTGCTTTGCTAAGCTTGTTCTAAGTAGGTGCTTTAGACCACTGAGCCATCTCACCAGCCCCTCTAGGGCTTTTATGGGATAAGCAAACAGGAAGTACAGAGCCAGAAGAGTTTGTCAATTGGAGATTGGTTCTTATACTATTGATCACAGTGATCAGAGATGCAGTTCAGTGACCAGGTGTTTCTAAAAAATGGAAATGGAACTGAAACTATTACGTGGGAAACTAAGAAACTGAAGTATACTGGCTGGGGGCATCATCTGCTACATTTCCCTTGTCTTTTAATTTCCCTGGCAAATCTTTGCTGGGCATATAATAAGTGATCTTCTGAGACAAAACCCAACTAGAAGCAGTTCTATAACAACAATCGGGCAAAGGAGGGAGGAGCTTGTATGCTTGTCAAATCTTTATCATGTGTAAGGGCCTTACTGGTTATTTTCTATTCTCTCAGGACAATCATCCATAGAACTAAGGTAAAGCAAGGACTGGAGTAATCGGCCTGAAAAGGCACAAAAATCAAAAGCACTACTG